TGTACTCTCACTAAATAGATACTATAATGTACTCTCACTGAATAGATACTTTAATGTACTCTCAGTAAATAGATACTATAATGTACTCTCACTAAATAGATACTATAATGTACTCTCACTAAATAGATACTATAATGTACTCTCACTAAATAGATACTATAATGTACTCTCACTAAATAGATACTATAATGTACTCTCACTGAATAGATACTATAATGTACTCTCACTAAATAGATACTATAATGTACTCTCACTAAATAGATACTATAATGTACTCTCACTAAATAGATACTATTATGTACTCTCACTAAATAGATACTATAATGTACTCTCACTAAATAGATACTATAATGTACTCTCACTAAATAGATACTATTACGTACTCTCAGTAAATAGATACTATAATGTACTCTCACTAAATAGATACTATTATGTACTCTCACTAAATAGATACTATAATGTACTCTCACTGAATAGATACTTTAATGTACTCTCAGTAAATAGATACTATAATGTACTCTCACTGAATAGATACTATAATGTACTCTCACTGAATAGATACTATTATGTACTCTCACTAAATAGATACTTTAATGTACTCTCAGTAAATAGATACTATAATGTACTCTCACTAAATAGATACTATTATGTACTCTCACTAAATAGATACTATAATGTACTCTCACTGAATAGATACTTTAATGTACTCTCAGTAAATAGATACTATAATGTACTCTCACTAAATAGATACTATAATGTACTCTCACTAAATAGATACTATAATGTACTCTCACTGAATAGATACTATAATGTACTCTCACTAAATAGATACTATAATGTACTCTCACTAAATAGATACTATTATGTACTCTCACTAAATAGATACTATAATGTACTCTCACTAAATAGATACTATAATGTACTCTCACTAAATAGATACTATTACGTACTCTCAGTAAATAGATACTATTATGTACTCTCACTAAATAGATACTATTATGTACTCTCACTAAATAGATACTATAATGTACTCTCACTAAATAGATACTATAATGTACTCTCACTAAATAGATACTTTAATGTACTCTCACTAAATAGATACTATAATGTACTCTCACTAAATAGATACTATAATGTACTCTCACTGAATAGATACTATTATGTACTCTCACTAAATAGATACTATTATGTACTCTCACTAAATAGATACTATAATGTACTCTCACTAAATAGATACTATAATGTACTCTCAATAAATAGATACTATAATGTACTCTCACTAAATAGATACTATTATGTACTCTCACTGAATAGATACTATTATGTACTCTCACTAAATAGATACTATTATGTACTCTCACTAAATAGATACTATAATGTACTCTCACTAAATAGATACTATAATGTACTCTCACTAAATAGATACTTTAATGTACTCTCACTAAATAGATACTATAATGTACTCTCACTAAATAGATACTATAATGTACTCTCACTGAATAGATACTATTATGTACTCTCACTAAATAGATACTATTATGTACTCTCACTAAATAGATACTATAATGTACTCTCACTAAATAGATACTTTAATGTACTCTCAATAAATAGATACTATAAGGTACTCTCACTAAATAACTCGAGGTTCAGTGCTTGTGTTGATATGCATTTATTCCATACCTTGCCACGTATAATTAGTTTTATAAGGAGGGTCGGTTGAAAACCAAATTTTTGACCAAGTTTTTGCGTCGAATGAAATGATTGTTTTTGTTTTTGTTTTTGTTTTTGTTTTTGTTTTTGTTTTTTTGTGTAATGTTTCAACATTCCAGCAATGCTAGCGGTTCCAAGCTGATACGATATTCTAGGGTTTGTGTTTGTTATCATGATTTCTTGGTAACTGCTCACTTGGACGCGTACGCGAAACATAAAAAAAAATTTCAATTTTGTATCGATTTGATGGAGATATGTAAAACTGCTGCAAAATGTTTGAAATCTTTTAATTTCAAATATCGGTCGGATTTCCTACTTTTTTTATATTTTGACCTTGTGCATGAAACATAGACCGAGGAAATTGTCCATCTGTTCTTTTTTTTATTTCGAACATAAAATAGTTGGGTAGTATGTACTTATCCTTACAACGCTCCTGCAATCTTCCCGGTTTTAGTGGGCTTCGTGTTGGTAATTTTTTTTATTATTATTATTATTATTCCGTCGTTTTTCTCTTTGCCCATGAGACAAAAGACTTCGACAATCAAACGTAAAAGACATTATAAAAAATGAAGAAAAAAAAAGACAAAAGTGTTAGATTATATAATTAAAAACTTATTTAAAAAAGAACACCAATTAAGAGGAGACATATTCGGTTAAAAAAATCCTAGGGAATTTTGGAAAAATTGGAAATAAAGTAAATAATAAACATTTGTAATATTAACACTAAGTATCTGTTTAATTTCTTAAAGATATAAAGAAATATGAGGGTGATACGTATATAATACTAATAATGATGTTAGTCGTTAATTTTCTAATTCTATCTTACATGGTTGTATTTCTTCGGCGATTAGTTGAATGATTTATATGTATATAATAAATATTATTTCTATTCCCGAGGCATGGTTGATCGGTAACGTCATATCAATCTATAAGTACAAAGTAGTAATACCGAACTACTAAATGACCTCCATTGCTCTTTTGTCTTGTCTTGGTAAGATTTTTTCTTATATTTTTAACATTTACTTGAAAATCGAGCCATGTTTAGCTATGGATATTTCATATAACAATCATTGTATGCATTTTTAGAGTTATTTTAATTAAGAATTTTAAAAAAAATTATGTACGTTTTCGACTTTGAAAATCATCTAATTTTATTCGGTTAGTTAGTTGGGCTGTTTAACGTCCTACACATGTATCTAACTTTTAATGCTCTAGTCGGACGGTAATTTTATTCGGATAAATTGTCTGTTATTATGTAATGCTTTAGGAAATGATATTAACAAAAAAGGTTTCTGATTTTTTCAAAGTATATACCAATTATGAAATCACGCACAATGCATAATGGAAAAAAAAGATGAACTTGGTGTACAATGTTTTAAAACTCTGTATATGTGGATGACCCTATAAAAATGTTAAAGTTGTGAAAAATGGCAACAATTAATATATATGTTAAGGAGACAAAAAATCTTATTTTCTCCAATGCCAGACTACCTAGAAATAGTATTTTTTTCTATCCATAACAGAGAACTAGAAATAGTCACTGATTATAAGTATCTTTGTATATTTTATATGCTATGAGCGTTAATTTTTTTAAAACCGTGAAATAAATGTATTATCAAAAAGATATTGAAACCATGTTTGATAAGTATAGAGTAACTAGTCCAAGAATTTGGAGTTTGAACAAAATAAACGAGAAACCGTAAGAATACACTATTTATGAATGTCAGTAGCGCATGACTCAATTACATGTATCAGTGCTGCTCGTTGACGACTTTTTTTTTATCAATCTTTCATCAGTTATTCTTTTTGTTACTTTGACTTTTAATAAAAAATATCGTAGGAAATGCAAGGACCTATAGATTTTTTTCTGTGGACATGTTCTTACAAGATTTATTTTATAATTCTAGTCATGTGAAATAAATGGTAAATAACGATATTTCATACTGAAACCAATGTAATAAGATTGTTTTCTGTCTATTCTTCTAGATATCCGGCTTGTCATTCTAAATTTAATGATTCCTCTATTAACTATCAAATCAAATCAAAAGCTTTATTTAAAATATTTTGTTTCTTTGATGTACATGTGTATAAGATGATGAAGGTAAATTTGATTTTCTTTATTACTGTCCTGAATACCTCTAATGCCATCGTTCTTATGCGTCTTATTTAAGAGATGGCACTTTTCACTTTAAAAGTAAAAATCATCATGTCATGTTGTAATACTGGTAAATGAGGCGGAGTATTCTTTCTTGTATTTTTTTCAATTTTAATCGTGTTTACTCGTTGAAACTGAATTTCAGACAATGAACAGAAATTCTAGTTAGACAAAATGAACGAGTAGTATCTTGTTAATTTTCCCAGTCTTTATTTATATAGGTTTCAATAATTGTGAAAAAAAAACGGTTTTCGGCTTGAATGAAAAGCGAACTTAGCAAATTTGGTGATTTACGTTTAGTACATTTAAATTCCTACTACAATGTCCTCAATATAATCGTTTGAGAAAAAATTTTGATGTCATGATAAATTTTTAAAACATGTAAAAATTTCATGTAGGTTAAAAGAATTGCTAATTTTGCCTTTTATTCAAGAAAACTGTGTTTTTTTTTTGTGTTTTTTGTTTGTTTTGTTTACATATAATAGAACTTATATGTATAAATGTTTTGAACTCATATTATCAATGCAGTAGTTTTGAAGCCCACCGTTACAATATTTGCCTACCAAAAATATATATATAAAAATAAGAAGATGTGGTATGATTGCCCGCAATGAGACAACTCTCCACAAGAGACCAAATGACACAGAAATTAACAACTATAGGTCACAATGATTTATGCATGCCATTTTACATACAGTCTTATGAAATTGGTCTGGCTGTGGGCTCAGATCATTATGTAAGGGGGTTATATGTTTATATCTGATTCGAAATTAGTTGTGTTTTTCATTAGTGAATCATCAGAGACATAATACATATAAGACATAATATGTATTATCAGAGACATATAATACAATTGTATTATATGTCTCTGGTATTATGGATCTGTCTTATCTTAGTTAAGTAGTAAACTTTTTATCACTTTGCATGTGTCTTCAATCTTTATTGGATCGTTACTGAAAAAATTATTTAAAAAAAAAAGATACTGAAAAATAGGTGTTTTAGAAAAAAAACAAATAACAAAATAACCGGAATGAAAAGACTATTCCGTAAACTATACGAGTTTTACTTTTGCACTGTTACCCATGCCTGCATATGGAATACGGGAAAGTACTATTAGTAAAACTAAGATCCAGTTTTCCAATCAAAAATTGAAGTTTGCTAGTTTGGCAGACTTTTTTCATTATGTTTCTATAAAACCAAATAATGATTTCCTGCTAAGATTTTTAATTTTCCTTTAAAGATACAGTAACGGTTGCAGGTAAAACTAATGAAATTTAAAAAAAACAAATGTTGTTCCCTACCCAGATTCCATCATATATCGGATACACCGACACATGGTAAATTTGCGATGAAGTTTTTCATCCTTCAGCATTTTCTTTTCCATTAGTAGAAATATGAAACTTAGTGTTTCTGCGTTACAATGCATAGGGTTAAACTATAATTTGTTCATCCATAGTCGGGGGAAAACTGAAATAGACCATTTCATGTTGCCTGAATAATACTCGACCCAACATTCCATAAAAATTCCTGTAAAACTAGACATGTTTTGATTATAGTTGATCTGTATTTTTCCTTGATGCAAGTATGTTAAATGATTTTGATACTTTCAAATTGAGGGAAACTCTGGAATTTGAAAACATGAATAGGTCTATTCTACTTTCTCTTTAGACTTTACACTTTACTAATACATGTAATATGAGGCAGGTGTTACATGTACATTTGTACTTGTGAAAGAGTACAAAGTCCGTACATATAAGTATCGTATTTTACCTGCTTTGCCATTGGCGAAAGCAGTTCTAGTAACCACTATACTCTGTGTGTCCATCTATCTGAAAGACATTGGGTAGAAAACTTTGTTCAAAAATTTTAGGCTTCTATAAAAGGGAAAATTTTTCGAAAAATCGGTATTTAAGCAACTATATGCATATTTCGTCACATTAAAACTTCTTTTAAGGCAGCAATTTTAGATCTGGACATTCATGTAACACTGCCCTACTCTAATAAATCAATGAATGGCTAAGTGAAATGGATAAAGGGAATTTCACAATTTATTATTATGCACTTTTTTTAGACTTTAGAAAAGCATTTGACATTGTTAATCATAACAGTTTACTCAGCAAATTAAGAATGTATCATTGTGATGATCATGCTATTGATTGGTTCCAATCTTATTTATCAGGAAGATTTCAGAAGATCAGGGTTCTCGTTAAGACGCATGAAAATCGAGCTGGACGCGTCATTTTTGAAACCCGTGGGGGGCGTCCTCGTTGTATCCCCTGAGTCCAAAACACATCGTTCAGTCAAGGGTCTAACTTAAATTAGTTATTAGAGAAAAATAACATACATTTGTTATTGAGGGCTAAAAAATCTAAAATCTGTGATAACATATGTATGTTACATGTTTCAAAGGGGCATTATACATCCTTTATTTTGTTAAATTGTGTACTAGTTCTATTGATATTATAATTGTCTTTATGTATATTAAACTTTAGAAAGATATAACAGCCCATAGTTTGCCAATCATGCATAACATACCCGTGTTATTACAGAAAAAATATGCCTGTAATAACAAAAGGGTGTTATTACAGCTTCTCTACATCTCTTCAAAGCCTTTTCTCCTACATATATCACAATGTATTTTAATTTATTGTAATAAATAATGATAAGAGCATGTAATGAGGTTCTGCGCAAGCTTCCTAGTCATTCCCAAGTGTCTCATGTAATAAGTTAAATGCCTGTAATAACTAAGCCTTGTTATTACAGCTAAGTTATCACTTAAAAGCCTTGTCTCATTGATTTACCATGGTTGATCAAAAATGTATTAATTGAATTGGAAAATTAGTTTTCATGGTTATGTATTAAGTTACTGCGCAAGTTTCAAGAATTCCCAAGTGCCCACTGAAAATAAAAAATTTTATGGTACATTTAACTGATAACAAGCATATGTTACTACAGATTAAGAGAAAGTATCCGTAATAACACATGTACGTTATTTTTCTCTAACAATTTATTCAAGTTACACCCTTGACTGTCTTTTGCCTAGAAGATTCATGATCGTCGACATTGTTAAGATTGTTTTGACAGGAAACTTAACCGGAAGTCGATGTTGAAAAATTATGTAATGCATAGATAAATATTTTTGTTGACTGATAACTATTTTTTAAAATTAAACATATTTCATCCTAAAATATAATACTTCTGTTCAAACTGATTAATAAAAATGTAATAGTTACTGATTTTTAAAAAGTTTACGAGTATTTGAAAAGCTTGAATATTTCCACATGTTGAACATCACATACTTATCTATTGAAACAAAGAAAGTAAAATTTTTTGAGAACTTGAAATGAAATAATATAATATTTCAAAACTGTTGCTACTATGCATAAAATAGATCGTAGAACAGTGAAGATTAAAAATTTTACGGATAAGAATAATTTTTTTGGCCTTCAAATGATTTAACATTTCTCTCGTATTGTGCATGCTGAACATCGCAATCGTAAACAAAGGTGGAAAATGTTTTGAAATTGAAACAAATCTGATTAAAAAATGATTTACGGTTACAGTGTTCACTTTAGATTTGCTTGATTTTATTAAAGATTATAATAATGATCATCATCATGATGCAAACATCAGAGTGATTATTAACAGATTGATTAAATATAATTAAAATTGATTAATAATAATTGATATGAACAGTGACAAGTCTGTGTTCATGCAATCCCTATTTCTTATAAATACTGGCTTGTCCAACAAAATGACATCAGTATCACAATATCAGAATCAGTCAAAATTAAAGTCCTTCTTCAAAAGGAAACCTGATGACATTGAATCATCAGAACCAAGTAAAAGATCAAGAGTCAATGACCCACTATACCAAGAATTGATAGACATAGAAAGATCTTCAGAAACAACAACTTCAGTTACTTCAGTCACTATTCCATCTAAACCTAATAAAGAGAGGAAATGGTAGTCTATAAGATATCATAACTTTTATTGATATACATGTAATCAACATGATCAAAACTACCAACCCAACAAGCATCGTTTTAGTTTTATTTCATTATATTTCATCATATTAAGACACAAAAAATTACATGCATCCTGGAATCATCAAAATCTATTGGGACTCACCATTTCTAAAAGTGATGAGTACCAGGACTCACCATGAAAAATTCCTAGTGAGAACCCTGGAAGGTAATGATCAATGATATTGAATCTCATTTCCGAGAGGTTCAATCAGGAGTACCACAAGGTTCCATCATGTTTGGACCTTTACTTTTTATAATATTTATCAATGATTTGTCACTTGTGCTTGAAAATGTTTCTTCAGAGCTTTATGCTGATGATACAACTTTATATAAGTCATCTCAATCGGTAACTAACAGATTTAAATGTATTTATGAATGTAGGTTTTTGTAATGTCAATGAATGTTATGAATTGGTGTAGTGATAATGATATGATATTGAATAGTGATAAGACTAAGGTCATGTTGATTTGTTCTAATAGACTAAATCCTTTTGAATCAGAATAAGATATCAAATACTGATGCCAGGGGCTCCATCTTGGGCTGTGGGTAACTTTAGTTACCAACAGCTGTTTAAGCACAGTGATATTAGTTAATACACCAATCCTGTACAAACATCACACAGCAAACTTCCTGCCAAAAAAAAAATGGAGTTACCTACCTACCCTGGTTTTTAAAGGAAGAAACCTTAAACAGACATTTATATTTTTTTTGGCCTAACATGTAAGCATAATTATGGCATTACTGATAAAAATCCCTTTCATTTAAAAACAGAGATACCCTACATTGTTAATGGCTACTGCAAAAGGCCCTGGTAAGAACACTGAGTGTACTTTGTACTTAAGGTAGCTTGGGTGTCTAAATGTTCGACTATAGATTATTCTCAAACTTCTGTACAAGACTTCTTGGTCATTGTACTTTAAAATTTCAGTATTAAAGCTGGGGGTCACAGACCTTGTTTCTTTCGTTAAAATACTTTGAAATTTACTAAATCACAGTTATTTTGTATGGGTTATAAAAGGGAAACTTAATTTTTCCTTATTGAGAAAACAAAAAATGATAGAATTGGTTATAATTCAATGCGATAATTGCTTTTCATATTATAAATACTTACGAAATAGCAAAAAATAATAGGGGTCATGGACCTTATTTACTTGGAAAATCCAAAACACACAGATTGTAATATATGTATAGCTATCAGTTTCAATATAATTATCTGCCCTTGATTTTAAAAGGAATTTTTCTGAAAATTTTAAACAGACTTACCGACACTTACTTTTTAACCGGATTTTAGAAGGAAATATCGGTTATTGATTTGGGGATGTACGGCGGGCAGGCGAACGGGTTGCGGCTGCCAAACAGTGTCCGTTCAATAACATGAAAACACTTCGATGAAATTTTTTCAAATTTAGATATGTGGTTTCCTGTGATTAAATGAAGGTCAAGAACAATTTTCACGATTTTAGCTTTTCTCCTTGTTGAGTTATCACCCTTTTTAATATCCAAAAGTGGTATTTATAATGTGATTGAGTTATTTCTCTTTGTACAGAAATGGTTAATTATATATATAAAGTTTGATTACACTAAGTGTTTTTAAATAATTTTCTCCTGTTATCAGATTATAACAAAGCAGATGGTAAATGTCTTATCTCACAATTATAATTGGAGGGACAGATTTATTTTAAAATTCTCTGTTTCCTAAGTGCTGATGATTATAAGCTATATAGGACTGTATAAACATAGTAAGAAATTTACTGGTCATTTTTATAAGACCGCAAAAAAATTTTTGTGGACGTATATTGGTATGACGTTGGCGTCGTCGTCGTCTGGCATCGTCCGGCGTCGTCCGAAGACACATTGGTTTTCGCACTCTAACTTAAGTTTAAGTGAATGGATCTCTATGAAATTTTACCACAAGGTTCAATACCACAAAAGGAAGGTTGGGATTGATTTTAGGGGTTATGGTACCAACAGTAAAGGAATTAGGGGCCAAAAAGGGGCCAAAAATAAGCATTTTTGTAACTTCCAGACATAACTTGTGTGTTAGTGTATGGATCTCTCTGACATTGTACCACAAGGTTCCATATCACAAAAGGAACGCTGGGATTGATTTTGGGGGTAATTGCCTCAAAATTTTAGGAATTAGGGGCCAAAAAAGGGGCAAAAAACGAGCATTTTTCTAGTTTCATGACAATAACTTGTGTGTAAGTGTATGGATCTTTTTGAAATTTTA